AGCCTAGCCCAGCCCGGCGCGGCCCCCCTCGCCGCGGAGGCCCGGCCCAGCGCGCGCGCCCCCCGCGTTAATTCTATTTTTTTTTCTCTCCTTTTGAGAGCGGGAGGAGAGACAAGTTGCTGAGCGGGAGGAGGCACTGCAGGCGGCCCGTGTGTGCCAAGCCTGGCCCGGGGGGTCTCTCGAGACTCCAGCTGATGGGTTTTATTACCGGTTATTGTGGCAGTTCTTTATTTTTTTTCTTCCTCCCGCTTAGGTAGTAGGCATGTCTGCCTGGAAACGTCGGGCCTCACAGATGTAGTCTAGGACTGAGGACAGGTCTTTTCCTGGATTTCCACAGGGGAAGTTTTGAGCAAGCCATGGGTGTAATTCTGTGTTGCTCCTTAAACTGTCACCCTCGGACCCTTTTAGTGTCATTTAGGTGCCACTAAAAGTGTGACTTCCAGGTTGCCCGTAGAATCAAAATGTTTTAGCAATGAGTTGACTAGAGAATAGGTGAAACTTGGAGCAACGAAATTTGTTTCCATCTTAGTTAGTTATACATAATCCTTGTTTTTCCTTGTAGTTATCGCTTGTGTTTCTCAGAGGCTTTTGGTGAGGCTGACTTTGTTATAGTCTGTGCCACCCGTAATGTCTGTGTTAATGTTCTTTGTTCATCAGTTTTGCAATCAGATGATGGAAGTAGGGAGGCTTTGAGGTAGGAGATTGCTCATAAAACTTTGTGTGCAGAAATGCTCTCCTTGGTGAGAAGGGCAGTCCATCTAGCTCTGCATTTGATCCCTAGTGGCGGCAGTAAGAAGAGATGTGGCCTAAGGGAAAGCACAGGAGCAGGACTATTCCCCTTGTGCTCCCTCAGCATCCCACAGCCTTGAGTTAGGGATGGTACGGAGCACATCTTCACCCATTCCCTCTGCCATCTGCTTAGGGACCTGCTGTCTTTGACTTTCTCTGAGAACACAAGCATCTTCTAGGTAGATAAAACTGGCAAGGAAAGAGGATACAAGTTAAATTTCCTTAGTAGCTACAATTCCTCGGACTGCTTTTCTCCAGAAAATGCCACACAATTATTTAATATAAATATACTTCTCAATAACTTGTTTTGAAGGGCAGATTAGGTTCCCTTTTATTTCAATGTTCATTGCTTGTACATAAAGCTATAATGAAGTTGTAGCCCTTTAGTGTCTATTCTGTTGTGTATGATAAAATGTTAATACTGTTTGCAGAACCCGAGGAAATGTGCACTGTGGCTTGAAAATAAAATTTCCATGATTTTGAGAAGCAAAGTAGAATATTACTCAAATGTGTATGCAAAATAGTATATTTTATGTGCATCCCACAATGTTCCTTAAAACTAACGTGCCTATGATATGGCAGCAATTGCAGTGCCTTGGGAGGAAGCTTTGGGGAAAGCTAAAAGTATTTGAAGTGCTCTCTTGAATGCAAATGATTAAAGTTGAATTTGAATCTTTATTCTAGTACAGACTTACCAGGTTGTATTTTTCCCATTCCTATATAAAATGTATATAGACTTAATTTTGTACTTTCCAGCCTTGTGAAAGGGATGCACAGCAGCTTTGCTTTAGTTTAATGTTAATAAGATGATGAATAATATCTATGTGCACAGATACATTCTGCCTCTATTAGATTTAGAACTACAGAAGAAAGTTGTGTAAGTATTGAAGCAGTGTGGACTAAGTAAATGCAGAGTAGAAGTTCCAAGTCACACTTGTGTGATCATGGTCAACATCACATGTTTTGTTCATGAGGCAGAAAAGCTGAAACTACAAAAGTGGTCGCCATTCTCCTGTTCATGTTGCACTCCCTTTTTTGGGCATGGGGTGGGGGGCTGATGTGTTCCCTTTGCATTAGTTCTGTCTTTCTTGCTTTGTTTAATTATAGAGTTACAGACTTTTAAAAAGATTCCTGTTTCCTACAGTTAGCCTTAGCAGGGTTATATGAGGATGAAGCTAAAAGGCACTCATCGTGTCCTGACAAACCAACAGCCACAAGAATTAATAACTCAAGAGTACCCCAGAGGTAAGGCATGCCTTGTACTTCAGGAAAATGTTAATTAATTGTTGTGTCAGCTCAGAATAGTTTATAAATTGTCATCGTACCTTTGTAGACAAAGAGGTCAAATAACTGTTTATAATCCTGAACTGTGAATCCCTGTAAAATAAGTTGCTGTATTCCAAATTACTCAAAATCCACTTAACAAAAGATTAGATAAGATTAAGATAATGCAAGTCTAATGTAGTATTGCTCTTTTCACATAAATATAAAACAACCTTGCTGTAGCAGAAAAAAATGCCCCAACTGCCCCCTACAGAGTTCAGCAAATCACAGAATGCTGAAGGTTGGGAGGGATCTCTAGGGGTCATCTAGTCCAACCCTCCTGCACACGCAGGGTCATCTAGAGCACGTGGCACAGGACTGCGTCCAAGTGGGTTTTGAAGATCTCCAGAGAAGGAGACTCCACAACCTCTCTTGGCAACAGTGCTCTGTAGGATCTGTGAAAGTCTGTGAAAATCTGTAGGTTGTGTGAAAGCTGGTGAGTGAGCTACTTTTAGGGTTGTACTTAGGTTAGTACTATTTAAATAACTATTCTATTAAGACAAATATTCATTAGAAAAATGATTTAGGTTTACTCATGGTGAGAGGAATAATTTAATTTGTTAATTTGCCTGTGTGTTAGGGCAGAAAGAAAGGGCAACCTAATGTTCATAAAGCCATATTTTGCTGGCATGTAGTATTTACGATTGCATAGCATTTGAAGATTTAATGTAGCTTTAAAGTTAGTAAAAGGGAATTTTGCTGGCTTGTAAAGAGTTATTTCATTTCTTTTAATAAAGAAGTTTTTAGATCGTTACTGCCAATGAAGTTGCAACAACCTCTTGCAGATTTCCTTTCAGTGACTGCGGCCTATATGGATTTTGTTTTAGGGATTTTTGTCATCAGAATCATGCCTCAAGTACATCTGCAAATGCAGATCTCTAGAAATATGGATTTTTAGTACAAAATTTAGCACTTGGCAAAGAACTTTTGTACTTTGTTTTCCCCGTGGTAAAACCATCTTGAGATGACTAATTGCTGAATACCATTTAAAACCAAATTCATCAAACAGCTCTGTTTGCCAGTACATGTCACAAAGTTACAACTTCTATTTCAATTCAAGGAAAAGCTGCAATATTGAGTCTTGAAAGTTTCACAGTGATAGCTGTTGGACAACACTTACTCGTTGTTGGCAATCATGGTGGAACTGGTCTGAAAAAGAAGAAGAAAATCACTGCTGTTTGTGTGATGTTCAGAATACAATTATATTTTTTTAATGAACTTCAGTCTGTTCTCAAATGAGTAGCGTATTAATTGCACGGAAGCGTGATGCTGCTCTTGAGGTCATCTGCTCATCTTCCAAAATGACAGCTTTGATAGGATGTCTCTGGGCCCTGCTGGACTAAATGCCATGTTATATAAACTGTCATGTTATGTAAGCTCCAGCACCTTTAACAAAGTTGACTCGTAGCACAAAAAAACAAGTCTCAAAACCTGCAATATGCAAACTGTGCAAAGGCAAGAAAACAGAGGAGATTAAATCAATGCATGTACCCACAACCTAAGTCCCTAACAATACCATTTTTTTTTCTGAGAGAGTAATAAAGAGTAAATAAAGAGTATAGTAATAAGGAGCAGATAAGAAATTATATTGTTTCATCAATGCTGATACTTTGATTTACAAGGCATAGTAGCCATAAGAGTTGCCTAAATCTAAACTAGAGAAATGTGATTATGTAGTAGATTGTATATATGTTCTTATCCCATAATAGTTGACTGTTTTGATGTGTCTTGTGTTGAGGAGTTTTATTTTAAAGTAATACAGGATAAGGGTGCACATCTGTACAGCTGTACATGTTCCTGGCATGCTATAGATTGGCAGCCTACCTAGTTTACTCTCTGGTAGGTTGTTCATCTGTCCCTGTCCTGAGATAGAATCTGATGTTGCATTTAGTCATCTTTGAGCATCTTTATAATGTTGGCAGTTTTTTGAATAATGTAAAATGTAAATGAGGACTAGTACTTCTTAGTTTCTAGAGTCCATGTGGACTGGGATTCCTGAGGCATCAAAGAAAAGCGTATTAAGACTGAGTAATACTTGTAACTTCACAAAATCAGATAAAAATGCTGTGGAAGGAATTTGTAATATAATTGATATCAGTAGGCTAGATTCTGCATCAGTTATTGAAATTGCATATTATTTTTAATTACCTGCCACCACCAGTGGCATAAAGTAGAAATCTGCATTCTACAGCATACTGTGAGTGGCTCTGCTATATACACATTTTTCCTCTCTTATTCTATGGTAAGTATAAATGGATATGTACTTTGGCCAAAGCAGAGTGGTGTTAAAATGATTAACTTACTTTCAATACATGAACAGATACTGGATGCATCCTCTGGAGGACTTCACTTTTTTTAAAAAAAAAAAAATCTTTAATTATGAAAAGTTTTTTTGTTTGTTTTTTGAAAAAATACATTTCAGCACTTCTCGTTAACTCTAATACACTGTGAAGTATGTTTGTTTACTACCGTTCATATTTAAACATGTTATTTTATTCCTTTGGCAGTCTTAAAATTGATTCTTTTAGAAGTTTGAGAAAACCAGAAAGAAGTATGAGCGATGACAAAGAAAACCAAAGGTATTGTAAAAATAAAAGTTATTTAACAATTGTGTGTTTTTTTTTTTTTTTTTCCCCCTCTGACATTAATACATTCCTCCTTCCCATTTTTCAAAATGGAGTCAAATCTTGGAGTCAAGAGGATTTTTTTCCTCATCACAAACCTCCTGAGTGGTTTTGTGTATCCATTACTCAAATATCTGAGTATTTTCTTGTTCTTGAATTCTCACTAGAATTTGCATTCTCTTGCTTTATGTCATTACCGTCATAATTCTTTAAAATTCTTATATCTAAAGATACTGCACATAAATGGCAATCAGGATGATACCCACAGATGTAGGTACAGAAGAGGAAGATGGTACTTAGGATTTGCAAATTATGTGATGTTGTAATAGTAGCATGGTTATATGTGCTTCATACCCACTGCTGTTACTGAGTAATTTTAGAATGTGTTGGAATCAACTGCATTTTGAAGGTATTGGCCTTGGTAACAGTTTCACATGATTTAATTGATTTGTGTTGCTCCAAGTTAAGTCACAAAGGCAGAAGTTGCTTACACTATTAGCTATTATAGCTGCATGTAGTTGAAGAGGGAGAAGAGTGTCAGATTTCCTAGTGTCTTGTTTGTTTGCTTGTTTTATAGAATCATTGTTATTTAAGTATTCGTAGGCCCTTTCACTTGGAGTATTTTGATCTTCGTAATTAAACAGATGTAATTTTGAAGAGAATTATTTGTAGTTTAACTTATATAAATGGGGCTAGGCTGCACAAGAAGATAACAATTTAGATTTCAGAGCGGTTTCTGCAGATTTTAAAATGCCTCAAAAGTTTAATTAAATAAAATGTTATATTTTGTATATTGGAAGGAAAGAGCTGGATCTTTAAAAAGATCAAATTTTGGCACTGCTCAGGTTTTTCCACAAAGTTTCATACTCGTTCTGCCAAGGCAGTGTTAATTGTGAATCTGTATTCAGCCCAGGCACAGTCCCATGCACAGGACCCCCCTGAGGAGATCAGTCTTTCCAGGAGCTGGCGGAATCCACATAGGATGAGGTGTGTAAAGCCCTGGCTGCTGCAGGGCTGTGTTTGCTTGCTCTTGGCTCCTAACCTCTGGGGTCTGCTCCAGAAGGCACTTTGGTTGCTTTGTTAGTGTAATGGCTCTGGATCTATGCTGCTTGGATTACTGGGAAGATCAGAACTAAGCAGAGCACTTATGAGATGGAAGAGATTTTATGTCAGAATTTGGCTCTTTGTTTGTTTTTTTTCATTAAGTTTTTTTTAAGGGGGAAGAGAGAGGTGATATCCGTTTTATAAAGCATTGCCACTTATGAGCATTACCATTCTTAAGATTTTATTCAGGTGACTCAGAATATAGAGGATTGCAGATTTCTGGGGCTTCTAATAATCCAAGTAAAATTGTTGCTGAACTCTTCAAGGAAGCAAAAGAACATGGGGCTGTCCCATTAGATGAAGCCTCAAGAGCATCTGGTGATTACAATAAAGCTAAGGTATGAGTAAAAAGATATTTTCCCTCTGTATTTTCATCAGACTCTGAAACTCATATAACCATGTGAGAGCAAGTTTGTCTTTTTGTGACTTGAGACTACTAGAAATTTTGGTCAACACAGTTGTATATTTTATCCGTAGTCAAATTCCTTGCCCTAGAACTAAGGGAGGGGCAATTTCAGAGGAATCATTGAAAATCAAATTGAACTTGGACTATTTGCTTTCTTCTTAAGTAAGATTGACATTAAAAAATCAGCTGTAGTTGTGTCCTTATCAAAATCTCTTTTTTTTCAGGTGTTGAATTAATAATGTTTGAGAAAATGTACAGATTAGAAACTAAACCATGTCATATAAAACCTGCTTAGCCTGGTTATAATTACTAGCTCTATTTTTTCACAATAAGAAAGTGTACAATTTAAAAGAGTCTATTTGCTTTTCTAATCAAGGAAGAAATGCTGTAATGCTCTTATTTTGCACTTTGGTAAATATGTTAAACTGTTTAGATATTTATTCAGCTGCAGAATGTTTTCAGTAAGATTTTTGTGTATTTTTTTTTTTCAGTCATTTTCTGGTGGTGGATATAGATTGGGTGACTCGTCACGGAAACGCTCTGAATACATATATGGAGAAAATCAAGATGTAAGTAAAATACTGAATAGCAGGAAATGGTTCCTTCAGCAGCTGTCTTGCAACTTGAACAGTGCTTATAACTTGAAATACCAATGTTAATGTAACTACACCAGTAAGAACTGCTGTAAAGCAGAGGTTACAGTTAAAAGCTTCTTTTGATGTAAGGAGCAGACGTCATAATCGTTAAGGCCTGTAGACATTCAGAGCATTGATTTGGAACAATTACTTCTCTACAGTTAGTAACTTGTAACTGTCCAATTCTTTTTTTGCTATATAAGCACCTGGCTTATATTTTCTAATATATGAAAATATCTATCATCTGGATATCTTTGCTGTGCTTGGTATAGATCACATTCAGAAAAAAAACCCTCCAAACTTAGTTATGATTTAGAAAAGCAACTCTTCTGAATATTAAGTAATATCACAATTCAATTTTGCATCAGTTACCATTTTATTATTAGGATTGTATGGATAATTGAGCTGGCATTGCTTGTAGCAAAAGGCAGATGGGATGCAGGGATGTTCATGCAGACTTCCACACTCCCCTCTCCCTATCTCGTCTTAAACAGGATAGGCCTTGAACCCAAGACTTTCTTCCTCAAGTGTGTCTTAACCACCACAGATGTTGTGGAATTCTATTTCTGGTTTGTTTGAAGACAGTAATTACTTTGAAACCAAATGTCTCATATCCTACCTAGTGAGCATCTAAACAGTGGGTTCAAGCATAGTGGCAGTTTTGTGAATGTCACTTTTTGCTTCCTTGAAGCAAAATTCATTAAAAATATCTACAGTAACTATTTTAGCACCTCTGAAGTGTTTTGTGATGAAAATCAGTTTTTTATTATGCACAATCCAAATTCAAAACCAGCTTAAGTATGGAAGCTAGCATAAGGTGTACATTTTCTGAGTAGAGCATAACATAAAAGAATCCTGCTCCTAACTAATGCTAATGCTGTGTTCACTGTGTCTTAGTTATTTTTATATCTGCTGTATGCAGTTTATACCAAGGTGTTTTCTCAGCAAATTATTTTCTGTGCAGCGTGAAATGCAGGATTCTCTTTTCACTGGAGTTTGTAATGAGAGGAAAAGGCTCTAATTCCAGATGGGTTCCTAGCCCACGACTGTGAAAATGATGATTTCGCTACTTGAGAAGCAAAGCAAACAAGTTGGTCCTTGTCTTTGCTCTCATGTTTTGCACGCTGTAGCTGACTGGAATTCACTAAGCTATTCTGTTAACACAAAATTAAAATAAGGGCTGACACTCACACCCTGTAAGCTGAACTTGCCCAGCAAACCTTATGTATATTGCATGTCTTACCAGACACAAGACATCTGTGACTCAGTGCAGGAAACAGGTCTACTGCTGCTTCTACAGAAACAGTTTCAAGGGTAACACTACACTGAATATAGCAACATTATGGATATCAGCTTGTGTCCTGCAGTGTTTGGAACTATTCACCACCTCTTTGTGCTCTATTTATTTTGTAATTTATTTTGGTTCAGTAATCCTCTCTGTGCAAGTTACTTTAAAAATTTGCTTGTATGCCTTTTTTCCACTCCCTCTCCCCGCCCTTCTCTGAACTAAATACATTTTCTGGAATAGCCCATTCTGACTGAAATTTGGCTGTAACAAAAGCTAGTTCATCTTTTCTTTGAAATTCTTCATTTTCTTCCTTACTGTATTACAAGTGCATCATAGTTGATAATAGGAAGGTAGTGGAGACGTCAGAAGTTATTTGCCAGCTTTTTGATCTGAGCATGATTTTCAGCTTTTCTTTTCCTGTATCTTAGATATAGTTTTAAATTCTGTTGCTTCTTTTTAAGAAAGAAATGGATGTTTTCTCATATGTACTGTTATTCTCATAATTCTCTCAGCAAAAGCGATGAGTCAGTTCAGGGGGAGTAACATTTGTACTTTTTCTCCCTTAATTCCTGTAGATTGATTTTTGTTCTGGGTCAGATCACTGTGATTTTAAGTACTTGGCCTACTGCAAGGGAAAATGATACGGAAGAGCACAGGACTATCTTTTTCAGCAGAAGCATCAGCTTGTGGTCATCTAAATTCATGGAATCTAGCATTAGTCTCATGTCCTTTGTTTCTTTTTGTGTGTGTGTTTTTTTTTTCCATTTTCCTGACTATAACTATCTTTGTTTCCTTACCTTTTACTACTTTTTCCCCCCTATGACCTTTCAAATTTAACATTATTAGTTTTTTTACAGCAACTATTATGTCTATATACTCTTTTCATATATAACTTTCTCACTGCATCAAGCTAACTTTCTTTATAGCTTCAAATTCAAATCAACATATGGTTTTGCACTCTTTCTTTTTTTCACTGATTGTTGCTCACTTTTTTTCCCTCTTTTTTAAGCTTTTTAAAAACATCTTAATCACAAGTTACTTTGAAATTCTTAGCAAATATTCATTTATTTTCCCCTAGTTGATATTCTGCATTATCTCTTAGTTATGGTAATATTTTATTTTTTCAGGTGTAGGAATTGTTTCTTGGTGCATCTTGCAAATTGTTAAAATCTCATGATGGGCATGAATGGTGGAGCAGCAGCTTAGAAGCCCCTGGAGAATCATCCAACATTTCTTTCCTCTCACTTAAAAAACAGGAAGTGAAGGAGAGAAAAAAAAAAAAACTAATTTCTCTACTCTTTGCCTGGAAGAGATATTAAAGTCTTCTCGAAACAGGAACAAAAATGAGTGAGGCTGAAAGATGGTGTGTCTGAACAGCACCCTAAGCGTCACCATGAGAGCTGCCACGCTCTGCAGTGGTTGCCCGTCCTGACCCAGAGATGTGTCCCAGCAGGGCCAGGGCTCATGTTATGAAGGGAGGTCAGCTGTACTTGCCAGGGAAACCTAGTTGTGCAGCGTGGCTCCAAGGCTTTTGTTGCAGGGAAGAGAAGAGTTGGGAGCTGTGGGCTTTGAGCACAGCAGTGGCTCCAGTGAAAGGCTCTGGCCAGAGGCAGCTGGCAAGACAGGAAGGGGGTCAAGGAAGCTGCTCTCCAGGATTCTCAGAGTTTGAACTGAATGAGTGAATATCAGCTCTATTGGAGTTCAGCATGTAAGGATTTGAGGGGAAAAAATAGTTTTTGCTGTAACTAGTATATCACCAGTTTATGACGTTATTTCATGATTTATCAAAAACAAAGGTTTATTGTTTTTAAAATTGGCTGTAATCTTGTAAAGCTCAATATACAATCACCATAAATGATCTGCCCTGTCAAGGATAGTAAGAGAGTCTTTTTCTCCAAGGGTAAAAGTAGTCTTGGTAGTAGGCTATAACTGGTTTACTTTTTTGAGGATTCTAGCAATGATAGTCTAAAACATCCTGCAGCATTCTGTTCACTTCTCACTCGCCTTCTTGTTTGTGGTGTCTGCTACCAAAGCTGTTAAGTGTGGATTACAATTTTTATACTAAAATTGAAATACCTTGCCTGTTTTATATTAAAATACTATTTTTTTGCCATCTTTCCTTGATAGGTTCAAATTTTGCTGAAACTTTGGAGGAATGGCTTCAGTCTGGATGATGGAGAGCTGAGATCTTATTCAGACCCAACAAATGCCCAGTTTCTTGAATCTGTTAAAAGAGGGTAAGTTAAAATGATGTGTGTTCTTTGAGGTATGCCTTTCAACTGAAGGGAAAAATTGTTTTCTCCTCATGGTTAAAATTATTAAAAGTTCACAGCTCTTTTCCCAGAAATTGTTCTTTGCTTCACGTCTTTACATATTACTATTTTTTCCTTCTCCCTTGATTGCACCCCGAAAGTGCCTTCTGGGTTTGCCGTCAGATTCATGGAGTATTTCTAAATTTGGAACATCCTGGTCCTTTCTGATTGTTTAACTTTGGATGTTACTTTTAAAGGATGACACTTGGTTTTACATCTTTGGTCAGCACACTCCAGGATTCAACTATTAGTTCAGTGATTTTATTTGTGTTTAAGTTTTTCATTTCTTCTGTTATCTTGGGATTAAATCAATTCCTAAGGGAATTGGATTACTTTCAATGTAAACTTAATAGTATAAATTCTTAAAATTTTGTATTGCAATACAAAATTTTAAAGTTGGAAACCTCTTATTTCTGTAATAAAGAGAAATTCCTGTGGAACTTCAGCGGTTGGTTCACGGTGCCCAGGTTAATTTGGATATGGAAGATCATCAAGAACAAGAATATGTGAAGCCTAGACTGCGATTCAAAGCTTTCAGTGGAGAAGGACAAAAACTTGGAAGGTAAAAATGCCAAGTTTTCTGTTGCATTTATATGCTGTTGCAAAAGCTGGAAAGCTTGGTTTGACCAGTTAGACTCCTGGAGAAGCTAATCAGACAAAACTGGATGACAAAAACAGTATAAAATTATTCTGTATTGCTTGTAATTTTGATCCAGTTTGACAAAGCAGTAATCATGGCAGTTTATATATAAAATTAACAGAGTTGAGTTCATTTGTTAATTAATTTGTTCTGTGTTTTAAGTTAGTGTTTTGTCTTCTAGACCCGCTCACAGACTAGATGCCTTGTCCTTCATCCACCTTTCTATGTATGTCGGGGGAAGAGAATATGAAAAGTGATTATTCCTGCACAGGTCTCTATCTAGATAGGAGGAATGAGACCCAAATTGTTTTTCCCCATTTAGCAAGAAACAAGTAAAACCTGATTACAATGGGATATTGTCCAGTGAGAATATACCCTGTTCTGGATTGTGTGTGGCAAATGCTGTGTATTATGCTTGGAGTTGTCACAAGGGGTTTTGCAACAATGTGCTCATGCTTGACTTAATGTTTATGGAGATACTTTTCTATGGAAGCAACTAATATTTTCTCTGAAATTAAGCAATAAGAACACGGTGTTCTGAAACGTAGCCTCCTAAACAGTCATTCATTATAAGTTATACAAGGCAAGTCCATTATTTTTAAAAACAATTAATATAAGCGTCTAACTAATTCAGCTTCATTTCTTGGCCTGGTACAAGAGCAGGCTGATGCTTTGAAAGCAGTAGCAGATGTGCCACGTAGCTGATATGATGCAGAATGGCCCAGCAGTCATTCCTGTGACTGCTTTGTTCAAAAGGTGTCCCTGATGTGTGTGAGGGAGTCTCCCATAAAAGTGTGGTCCCGACACTGTCAGTTAATCAGTTCTTTTTCGTAGTGAAAGTATAGACTTTTATAGCACCTTTAGCTGACCAAGAGTAACTTGGGATCAGTAGATCTAAAAAGGTAGTAGGCCCTGATAGGAATGACATGGTAAGCAGCTGTATATGGTAACTTCTTCAGCTGGACACTTATTCCGGTTATTAAAAATAAGTGGGGAAGATGGGAGGTTCTTTAAGCAAAAATGCACACCTGCTCTGTGGCTGTCTTATTCTGGTGGCTTGTGACTCATAACTAAGCAAGGAATAAAAGAAGCCAAAAAGTTATCTTCAGTCAAATCTCTTTAATTTTTATAGCATACGTATAAAAAAAAAAATCCATACTCTCTATGTGGTGGTGTCAAATTTCCATTTGTATCATCTGTGCTCAAAAAGGTTGAGGGATGCCCTGAGGGATGCCCAGACTCATTAAACTGTTCATAAAAGCAGTTACTAAAGCAAGCTGGGTTAGTTTAGTGCAGTTTCTCTGTAGCTTAGCGCGCTAAAGCTGTAATATAATAGTATAATAGCTTTTTTTTTTTTAATTTGATCCATAAAGTAAAATATATAAAGCTTAGTATTACAGACTGTCGCTTCATGTTCTGTAAGCATAAACAAAGATGTTTTGTGCCTAATTACTTGTCATTAAAATCATGCAAATGTAACAGTCTAGACAGCTGTATGAGAACATATTTACATACAAAAATTTGAAATGATAAACAAGAAACTGCAAAAACATTCTTTCTGTATTTTAAAAGGTATGTGTGGATAACTTAGAGTGTTTTTGTGGCGCCTTGGTATTAACTAGGCATGTTAGGCATTTCACTGGAGAAGAAGCTAATAGCTCTGTGATTCCTCTTTGTTTTTTTGTTTGTTTTTGTCTCCCGCTCCTAATTCTCCAGCCTTACACCTGAAATAGTCAGCACACCTTCTTCACCAGAAGAGGAGGAGAAATCCATTCTTAACGCACCTGTTCTGATAGATGATTCCAAGCCAGCAACTAAAGTTCAAATTAGATTAGCAGATGGAAGCCGATTAATACAGAGATTTAACCACACACACAGGTAAACTGATGCCACCTCAGTGCAGGTAACCATAACGTATTTTGATTAGTTTGTGTTTTATCATTAAATATCAGCACTGCATAAAAAGGGGAAAATCTGCCTCCACTGAAATGTTACACCCCTGTATCATTTTCACAAAAGACACTGATGTAAAATTCCACTTCCAAAGTCAATGTAATTGGAAACGCAAGGTAATTGATAAGTGCTAAGTCACACTTTCCTCACTGCTTACGTATCTTGTGATTTGTAAAGAGACAGGACCAGCTGTAATGAGTGTCTTCTCTTAGGTGTGAGGTCCTGTTAGTGTTCCCGGGTCAGACAAAATCTGAGCAACTTGGCTATATTTCATCCCCAGCTATGCATAACCCTAGGTCCTTCATAAGAGGATTCTGACTTGGATGACACTGTGAAGATACTTGATTACAGGGCATCATGGAGTATAGCTTGAACTTGCAATGTAGTCCATACTGCCTGCAGAGGAGTGCTTTGGCCCGTGCTCAAGAGCTCCTTCTTTCTCAGATCTATTGATTTGAGAGCCTATGACAAACGTTGCACAGGTTATAAGTGTAGGTTGCAGCCCATGCTGAGAGAGAAGGGTATGTCGGTATAATGTACTCATTGGCAATGCTGTCATTCTGGTGAACAGGCCAGAGATAATACTGGGAACCAACCTTTGTTTGGTTTGGTTGGGTGCTCTACTCCCAGGAATGGGTGTGAACTTGGGATTTTAAATCTATTAGTTGTCTGCTGGCTGGAGTTTGTCATCAGTTTCATGAACATTGTTGGGACACTGCCACGAACGGTATTGGCTAACTGGTTTTATTTGCCTAAGAGACTGTGTTCATGCAAGTTCTGCAAAGTTCTGCTTTGCAGTTGCTGTTCTGTGTGACCGAGGGAACTTTGGGCAGAGGTTTACGCAATGGTTCCCCCCATGCGTGCAGCAGGCAGGGTTCAGGCCAGCAGCAGTCCTGAAGCCTCCTCGTCTTATTAGGAGGCGACTGATGTTAGTCTGAGGCCTGCCTCGAAGGTGGCCTTAACACGGACCCAGTCCCACGTTAGCAGCTACGTAACTCTGAGTTGAACTGATTTTTTTGGCTCAGATTACAGGCAGAGCCAAAGTGCAGGTGGCTTCACCTTGAAAGCACACACACACGTGAATGAGGCAACTGTAGCTGTGATTACTGTAGTAAAGAAGACCCTGTTTAAAAAAAAAAAAATGTCCTCACATATGGGCTTCTCTGTCCCACACCTACAGAAGAAACACTTTAGCTAAAACCAGTATAGCTGCTGGGAAGCATCTGAGGTCGTGGTGTGTTCTTGCCTCCATTAAAGACTAGAGGTGGCAAGCTTCCCAGTAGTAGGCAAGGGTATGTTAAGTCAAGCTTATTTAATCATTGTTACATTTTTCTTGGAAGTGGATGTGTTTTATTAATTTTGCATATAGATGATCAAAATTGGCTATTAAACTGCATTGCTTGTATCTTTCATTGCCTGATAGAAACTTAGGCAGTGCTTGCTTGGTTTGAATAAGTCTGCCTACTTGCTGCTTACAATTAATCATGTGGTTACAGTTTGCTCTCTCTGGTGAGAAACAAAGTTTCAATTAAAAAAAAAATCTATCAAATCCTATATGGTTTTGATCCTTGTCTCATAAAGACAAGTGATTTTTTTGTGTTTAAACTGTTAGTGTGGCTGTCTTATGAATAATGGCATTAATTATTCCACTACTGAATAAAGCTAGGGGAGACCTTGTATTGTTCAAGTGCATTGCTATTCCCCTCTACTTTGTTATCACTGTCAGCATATACTGACAGATTCTTCCTTCCGTTAATACTTAAGTCTCTTCAATATGCACTAGTAGGGATTTTTTTTGACAGCTAATATTTAAATTATTTGGACTTGTTTTTCCTTGGAAACTGATATTAAACATATATAAAGAGCTTACCAAATAAAAGTTGTACCACAAAAAGAAAAAAAATGTATTTGTTATTTGAGAAAGCAAACCACAAATTCCGTTTTATTTTTTTCAGTTTTTGTATGCAGGAAACAAAATTCTAAACTGTTGCAATCTAGATCAAAGTGGAAAAGTAAAATCTATAGGATGTTTTAAATGGTTTAGTTTATTTTAAGATTCCATGTTCTTTGGTCTTGATGTTCAGAGATTTATGCTGAATTTAAATCATACATGGTTTTCATGTCCATATCTTTTCCACAGGATTAAGGATATTCGAGATTTCATTATCCAGTCCTGCCCAGCATTTGCCACAGTGGATTTTGTTCTTGTGACCACCTTTCCCAATAAAGAGCTAACAGATGAAACCTTGACTCTACAAGAAGCAGATATACTTAACACTGTGATTCTTCAGCAATTAAAGTAATCTTACAGCTATTGGTACAATAGGGAGTGTGCTGTGTTGTCATACAAGAGTGTTTACAAAAACTGAAAAATGGAAAGATCAGTGTCCCTCTTCCCCCTCCCCACTGCCATAGATCAGATTTTGGTGTGTAATGTCTTCCAGCTATAGCATATGTAATTTGATTTCAATTTCTGAAATTGTTCATTGTTTGTCGATGTTAAAATTAAACTCCCCTTTGCTAGCAAATTTCAGACTGCATCTTGTACTACATGTGAATGAGAAATTGCTTTCCTACTCTTCAGTTACTTTGGGCAGGGGAGAGGTGAGCGTTTTTCTGAAGGGAACGGTATTTTTCACTCAACTGGAAAGATTTGCACTATATAAATGATTAATGCTGCATTGACAAACAGCCATTTGAAAACTTAGCCTGTAGCTTATGTTTACCTTCTAAATTGTATTAATATTAAGGTATTCCATTTTGTAGATTGAGATAATTAATGCCCTACTATATAACTTTTGTATATTGTTTATAGTGTTTCATTGGTGCAGTATAATGATTTATATTTTACATTTGATGTAAATTTCCCTATATCGTTGCTGGTATGAATGAATCTGTATTGAGATGCAAAGTTCAGCTGTTTCAGACTGTGTAATAGATAGTTCTCATTTGTATTTTAGTTGTTCTTGTGATGAAAATAAGGTGTTTTTTTTTTGTTTTGTTTGTTTGTTTGTTTTTCCTGAGAGAAATGGGAGAGACCATTGACAACTGGAGAAATGTCATGATTCAGATTTCATGAGAGTTGGCCTGTGGTCACTTTGAACTTGAATGTGCAATCAAGCCTTGTGCTGCTACACAATTCTTCACATTTTCCATAACCCAAAACAAAAAGCATTTGTGTGTATAAACACAGAACTTGTTTATGTAGTCACTTATATGCACAAATGTAGATATGTTAATTGGTCATGAACTTTGGATCTGAATGTCAGGTCTTTGTATTTGGAATTTTGGCTAAACGCATTTTATAATATTCAGTGGGGTTTTGGTTGTGCAAGTTTCGTTATATTCATTTGAGAACTGTACAATTAAACCCCATGTTTAATCTTTGAAATTATATTTTTTCAAATAACTTGGCTCTACACTGCAGTATGCAGGTAGGAATCTTAAGTTACGGAAAACTGGCTAATGTACTTTAATAGTATACAGATTTGTAATATTTGTAGCTTTATATAAGGGAATGGATCACACTTTGAAGGAGGGTAAATGGACTGTATTCCTTGTTTCAGTGTGTGTGTATATACGTTAAAAATATTGTCTTCACTGATTATTTCTTTCTGAAAATACCAGCATTATTTATCTATACTTAGCTTATCATTGGTCAATATACTTGATTAACATTATGTTTTTACCTCAAAGTACATATTTGAGTAAATTTTAAATGTGCAATTGTATTTGAAGTCATACGTTTTGTAATCTGAATATTTGCATGATTTAAATCATTATTCTTTTCATGTGCTAAAGCAATTAAACTTTGGAGCTGAAAACACCATAGGCAGCATTTCATTCTTCCCAGTTTGTGTTGTGATGAGGCAGTGATTGTGTTGCATGCCAAACTCATAAGCCTAAATGGAAAGAACTGGGTGTTCCATATGTGTGTATTTTTACATGCCACCCACTCTCTATACCAGAGCAGAGGCCAAAGTCACATTACTGGTACAATTAGGATATATTAGCAACTGCATCAGGCTGTTCTCACTCTTGGTGAAAGTCTAATCAATAAGGAATGAAGCAAGGAAGATCTTACTTACAGATGCTATTACTATCTTAGCTGCTTGCATTAAGGTAAAGCTCCAGTGATCTCTCAATGGTGTTGTCCTGCGCCAGGAGTAGACTGGGATGCCCCTGTCCTTGCTCATGCTCTTCAAGTCTGACAAGCCTCAGGGTGGGTATACAGTGTTCTGCATGCAGGTGAGGGAGCGAGCAGCAACAGGCTGCCATAACAGAATCCTGGATCTGTGAAACCCTCAAAGCAGTAAAGGTGTCAGGTTACTGTCCCATGGATCCAGTCCGAGTGCGTTCCTGAAGACATGAAAATTACAACTGGTCCCATTAAGTTAATTGTCAGTTCATAATGTGTAGTGATAAATAATAGTAGGCAACGACTGTGATGAAAATTTGGTGAACTGTAGCTGTCCGATCAGCCAAAAGTTACGTTACAAGGCTGGAAACACCACCTACAGAAGATGGCTGGTAACCTGGAAAGCAGTGACCTCAAACAGGACTTGGACAACAGACTAGGAAAGCAAGGCAGCAGAATTATTTACATTTAGCAATAGAAATGGAGGGATGGGGAAGAAGGTTAAAGGAAAATACGTTGAAAGAGCTTGTAACAATTAGTTTATTAGGAAGAAAATGATGATGGAAATGGCTTACCTTCACAAAGTGTGGAGGGAGGGGAGTAGCGCAGGACTCTTCAGAAGAGAAAAGTGTAACAATAGTTGGAAGCTTTAAAAAAAAAAACAGTTCAAGTACTTCCCAAGCAAAAATATTTTTTATAGTTGTTGGAATGGACCAACAATGAAAATCAACGTGTCTTCCTTTAATTTTATGTGTTAGGCTGGCTTTCTGTAAGATGTCTTTTTATGTCCCCTTCTTATGCTTGTAAGCAATCTACATCCTCAGTCTTGTTTTGTCTTCAATGAGGGAGCTCTGGCAGTTCATCTGAATGTTACAGGGAATGAGAAATGTAAAGTTGAAATGTAAGGAGGCTATTTAATGCTTGTCTGTTTGTTAATAGCTATCTGTCCTTGATTAATGAATGCTCATGATTAATAAACTGCACATGTAGGCTCATTTTTGAGGAAATAGAAAACAAATATTCCAAGGTCAGTTAAAGTAAATAGAACCAGATTGTCTTAACTGTGGAATTAAATTTTCCTGTAGGGAATTATTTGGGAAGAGCTACTACTTTACATTCATCAATTCACCTCAAACCAACTCTAATTTGTCTGTGTAGGTGAGCTCTTAAAGCTTTTAAATATTAATGCCTGAATATTCCCAAAGAGAAACAAGCAGGCATCATTTTGCTGTATCATGTGTTTGTGGAAGTTCAAATAAAATAGATTACCTTTGTGGGACTGTGAAAATTCTGTTTGTGGCTTCTTAGTAATTAGTAGGTGTTGATAGTACAAGTTGTCTTGATTATTTTTTTCCTTTGTCAAAGAAATACAATTGCTGTTGTTTGCTAGATCTAGCCTAAAAAATACCAAATATTTTCACTTGGGGAACCCATGGAGAGGGATTTGGAAATCCTGCTTGACAAGTTAACCATGAGGCAGCAATGTGCCCTCGTGGCTAAGAAGGCCAATGGGATCCTGGCCTGCATCAGGAGGAGCGTTGCCAGCAGGTTGAGGGAGGGGATCCTGCCCCTCTACTCAGCTCTGGTGAGGCCGAAACCTGGAGTATTAGGAGCCTGCTTGGCCTAGAGAAAAGACTGATAGGGGATCTGATCAATACATATAAATATCTGAGGGGAGAATGATGGGACCAGGCTCTTCTCAGCAGTGGCCAGTGACAGGACAAGAGGTAAGGGGCATAAATTAGAATAGGAAGTTCCATCTCCATGTGAGGAAGAACTTCTGTCCTGCGAGGGTGACAGAGCCCTGGAACAGGCTGCCCAGAGAGGCTGTGGAATCTCCTTCTCTGGAGATCTTCCAAACCCGCCTGGATGCCACCCTGTGCCACGCGCTCTGGGTGTCCCTGCTGGAGCAGGGGGGTTGGACTAGATGATCTCTAGAGGTCCCTTCCAACCTCAACCATTCTGTGTTGTCACCATTTCATGTTAGTATCTAACTAGAGTTTTTTTGACTGATGGAAGCACTAGAGCATTAGTGCAAAACAAGTCTTCAGTGTGAGGATGCTTGAGAGTGGGGCTTTGTATGGGGACACATTCTAGCTGATAGAGTCACTGTTCTGATAAAGGTTGTTGGCTGAATCAAAGTGATGCTCTAGGTCACCAAGCTCTTCAAAGGTGCTTTACTTCATTCCTGATTACCTGCTAATTATTGCCTAGTGGGTGCTGATCGTTCCTCTTGGGTAGAATAGCTCCTGCAGTGTGACAGTTCTTGCAGAAAATCACAGAATTGTGATTTAATTTATACTCATCATAGTGATTTGCAAAACTCTGTTACAAAAGGAAGACCTGAAATCTTTTCCTTTCCTTCAAAACCTTTCTTCTGCTTTCTTTAATGCAAAATTGCAAGATGAAGTACGTAAATACTGAAATTGGGCACATTAAGTAAATCTGGATTGCCTGATCTTCACTCAATGTCAGTTTTAAGTGAGCCCCAAGCAATTAAAATCATATAATCAAAATTTGTCATCTTTCCTTTGTAGTAAACCTCTGGTGTCGGCCTGCCCAAGGACTGCAACCCTCTAGAGTCATCAGAAGGCAGCTCTCTTCCCTAGGGTTCACAGTTAGTGCTAGAATTATTTCTTAGCTTCATATATGAGCAAATAAAATTTAGGTAGTCATTTTTTATTCCAGGCTCCGCTAAGCTTCTTCTCTATTTTGTGTTGTCTTGATAGTTCACATTTAATTTCTTATGTAGGTTATCTGACACCTTTGAACTTTGACTCCCTAAGGGACGTGTGTGTGAGGTTTGCTGAGGTAGTGCTTTTATTCTCGTTGTTGCAGATCTCAGCCTTTGGAAGACGATTTTATCTTTTTTCCATATTTTTGTAATATCACGTGGTCCAAATTTAGAAGAAAAGTTTAGATTGCAAATATGTAGATAGGGAGTAGGTAGCACTCAGCAGATAAATTTGAGAAAACTGGAATTTTGGAAAAACTTTCATTCTTCATGTTTCTTCTCTAACCTGCACTGACCTCTTGCACTCAGTAACTTTTACTCGTTATTTACTCAGCTAAACATTATCTGTGTACAGAAAATCTCTTTAAGATCCATATCAGAGGCTTGAGCCTGCAGATTCTTATTCTCCTATGTAATGCTCCTATGTAACATTCATGTATGCTCCCAAGTAGGTTCCTAAAGGCTCTTGGCCTTGTATAGGCACATATGAGAAAAATTATCTTCAAGTTTAATGCTTGGATCCTAAATTTTTTTTGTGGCAATGGCCTTCTTTCTTTGTCTTTCTAGAATTTCTGAAAGCAATGGCTGG